AGCGGGGCGGGGGGGGGGTCGCCTGCGTGCCCTCGTCGAGCGCGATGGAGCCCGTCACGTCGGCGGTGCGGAAGAAGAACTGCGGCCGGTAGTTTGTGAAGAAGGGCGTGTGCCTGCCGCCCTCCTCCTTGGTGAGCGCATACACAGACGCCTTGAACTTGGTCACCGGCTTGACCGTCCCCGGCTTGCAGAGGACCTGGCCGCGCTGCACGTCGTCCCGCTTCAGGCCCCGAAGCAGGCAGCCGACGTTCTCGCCCGCCTCGCCGTAGTCGAGGTTCTTGTGGAACCTGGGGTGAGCGAGGGGAGAGGGGCGGGTGAGCGGGGCGGCGGCTAGCTTGGAGGCTCCGCCCCTCGTGGTCGGGCGGCGGCGCACATCTCGACCCCCGTGACAGTGGTGCTGATGGTCTTGCGCAGCCCGACGATCTCCACCTGCGGGCCGCAGCGCCGGCGACTCATGGAGAGGGAGGGTGGAGGGTAGTTTTTGGGGGGGGGGGGGGGATCTCCACTCGTCTCGCGGCAATCTCGTCGCAATCTCGTCGCGGCGCTCTCTCGCTCGGGTTCGGCCGCGCCTCCTCTCCCGTCTTGATCTTGCCCGACTCGACGCGGCCGGTCACGACCGTCCCTCGGCCTGCGATGGAGAAGGTGTCCTCGATCGGCATGAGGAACGCCTTGTCGGTCTCGCGCTGAGGCGTCGGGATGAAGTCGTCCACCTGCGGCGCGCGCGGGGCGGAGGAGCCTCGCCCGAAGGCAGTCTCGGGGCGGCCTCAGGAGCGGCCGGGGAAAGAGGGAGCGAGTGCGGCGGAGGTGAGGCCGGCGGCGGCGAGAGGGGGTCTGGCGACTCTGAGGCGCCTGCTGCATCAGCTCCATGATGCGCTCCTTTCCTATCTCGTCGTCTCTCCCCTGCAGGGAGACACCGAGGGAGGGTCAGGCGAGAGTCGGGGGAAGGGTCCGGGGGAGGGGGGCGTGGGGAGAGAGCGGCGCTTGAGGGCGCGGGGCGCGCGGTCTATAGGGGAGGCGACAGCTGGCCGCCGGGGTCGAGTGGGCGCTGGAAGCTGGGCGCTGGAAGCTGGGCGGTGTGTGTGGTGAGTGGAGGCAGTCGTCCCACCTCGAGCGCGCACAGGGCGGAGCCGCGCACGAAGGGCGTGTCGTCCGCGGGGAAGTCGTGCAGCTGGAGGAGCTCGCGCACCTGCAGGAAGTGTCTAGGAAGTGTCTAGGAAGTGTCTAGGAAGTGTCTAGGAAGTGTCTAGGAAGTCGTGCAGCTGGAGGAGCTCGCGCACCTGGGAGGGGAGAGGAGGCGGGTGACGAGGAGAGGGAGAGGGTGGGAGAGGGCGGCAGAGGGTGGGAGGATGGGAGAGGGTGGGAGAAGGCGGAAAGATAGAGGAGGAGGAGGGTGGTAGAGTGTATCAGAGTGTGTGAGTACGAGAGAGAGCGTGTGAGCGTCCGGGAGAGCGTGAGGGCGAGAGCGGGAGTGCGGGAGCGGGAGTGCGGGAGCGTGAGGGGGCGGGGGGGGGAGGGGGGACCTCCATCTCGAGCAGGGAGTGGCTAGGAAGTGGCTAGGAAGTGTCTAAGGACGGACCTCCATCTCCACCAGCTCGAGCAGCTCCTCGTCGTCAGCCATGTCGCACCTACGCCACGGGGCGAGGGACGCGTCTTCGTCCTCCCGCCGGCGATCTCCTCGCCTTCAGTCCCGCGCCTACAAGCCGCGCAGCGACGCCCGGCTAAGTGTGCCGTCAGCCGGCCGAGCCTTTGCGCCGTGGCCGGGCGGCGCACTTGTTCATAAAGACGACCATGCGCGGCAGCCCCACCTGCTTCGCGAGCAGCACGTGCTCGCGCGTCTGCGGCATCGGCCCGTCCGGCGCAGACACGACCAGGATGGCGCCGTCCATGCATGAGGCGCCTACCGGGAGGCTCCGGCAAGGCTCCGACATGGTTCGGAAGAGGGCGGCTGGTCCATCTGCGAGGAGGGCGACGATAAGCTAGGGGCAGGGCTTAGG